ATTAAAGTAGGGCTTGGAGGGTATATTTCGAAGTAAACTCTCATAAGGAACCCCAAAGCCAACAGTGTTAGCTATGATTATATTCGGCCCTGGCCCCTAGATGACACCCCGAAGCCCTGAAGCCCTGCTGGGGTTACAGGAGCTGCCCCGCCTGCTTGGCTTTCAGCTCCTCCAGAAGCGAGTCCTAGGCACCGAGGCCAAGGCCAAGAGGTCTCTCACGCGGACCCGAAAATCTCTCATTTAGGGTTTAGGGTTTAGGGTCCATCAAGTGCAGCCAAATGCGTTCGTGACAAAGCAACAAACTGCTGACCCGACATGCGAAAAAAGCACTCCAGTCACAGCTCTTCGTACGATGGCTGTCGTTTTGGCACAGTATCCACATAAACAGGGCCCTAAGCCCCAAAAACTTAAAAGTACAAGAAAAGATCTGAACTGTTTGAAACACTATCCCCTGTTGTGGTCCCTGTATACGATTACGATATTATTGTAGCGCAAAGGGGAACGGCTCAGCAAGGATTTTCTTGGAATTGGTGTAGGGAAAGGTGCAGGGAATGCCTGGACACACGCTTAGAATAAGGTTGAAAGTTGAAAGTAGTCTACGATAGTTATATGAAGAATGAATGCTAAGATATGCTAACGAACAAGCCACAGACTTTAGGCTTGGGGACCCGGCTTACGGGCCAGTCCAAAGCCAACATCCGTAGACAGGCAAAACCCAACCCCCAACCCTTCAACCCCTAACCACCCAAACGTCGATGACCCGACGACCTCGAACACTAAAATCCGAATCTCCAGAAATTCGATCAACTCCCACGCAAAGGGCGCCGCCATCTCGCGCCGGGGTGGTCCACCGCGGGACCTTGTGGTTTAAGGCTAAGGGACGTTTCGTACAGTCCTGGGTCAAAAAAGCTTTCCTCGTCCTAGCCTAAGACCTTCAAGTGGTCAACGAGTCAAGGGGCTTGAAGCCGAAGGGCTGCAGGCGTTCCAGAGCTTCGGGATTATGGCCTTGTGGTGTTGACGCACCGAATCCTAAGCCTTAAACCCCAAACCCTAAACCCCACATTTGGACAATTTCGGCCTCGTACTGTCTTTGCGGCTTTAGAGCTTACGGCCATTCTTCAGTGCTTTTGGGGTTTAGGGCTTCCAGGGTGTAGGGTTCACGATGCAGACAGGGTTTATCATTTAAGGGCCTTTATGCTGTAGGGCTTTGCGGCTGTAAGGCTTCGAATTGAGTGTATCTGCGATACAGGCTCTCGTCGGCAGTATTAGTTAGCTTTTCACGCTCTGGCGAATGTTCGAAACACCTTTCACCCTATCCACATGCAGCACTTGCATACTGTGTATATAGCCTCTTCAGTACGAAACTCCGTGTTGCTTCCATGTCCGAACAGATTCGTCCTCTTTGTCGAACGTAAGAGCGCCCGCTTGAAGGAGGCTTTTGTGTTGTTTTCGGAAGTCTTCGTGTAACACATACTGTTCATGGAACCTTTAGATTTCCTGCTCCTTCAGGTGTGTCTATTCTGTTCCTTTGCTTCTTGCATCCGCTCCCCTGATGGCGCTTTGCCTTGCCGTTCTGGGCTTTGTGATGGCATTGTCGGCTGTCGTATGCTGAGCTACTGCCTGTTTCAATACAAATCAACCAAGTGTCCCGCCTTATCTCTCGTTGATTGAAGCGGAGTCTTTAACGCCTGAAGATCCTCTAATAGTGCTTTCTTATCATTCAAACCAGTTTCTAAATATGAGAATGAATTTGTTCCCAAAATCTTGCCCGAAGCATCTAGAAAAGCTGAAGGAGAAACTGGTACTCCACGGAAGCCAGTACTGCCACAAGAGGGAAGGCGATCCCAGCTATGCTCAAAAGAAGCATTGAACAGCTTCAGCAAGAAACGACTTGAGAAACACTTACAGAAATACAATGTGGATGTCACTTGGATGTGGAGGTAACGAAAGCGCAGAACCAGAAGATTGCAAGTACTGCATGGAAGATTAACATGATGACATGGTATGTTCAATCATTGTTGCGTTGATTGTTTATATGAGTAAGACAGGAAAGTCGTTAACGATGTACACCGATAAAGCGGGATCCCGGCGGGGTACATGCATTGACCGTTGAAATAGACAAAAATCAGGGCTACGGACGACAGCATCGAATCGTTAGGCACACGTTGCAGCAAAAAAGAAACCAGTAGGACGGAACAGCCTTGTGGACCTTAGTCACCTAGTCCACCTATGAGCATCCAAGGGGCCTCTTGTCTGAAGTATCATTATGCTTAATCAGAAGCTGAACATGGGAATGCTAATGATCGATGTTTTTGCCGAGTTTATGCATGTTGTGCTAAAAACGGCAGGAAAGAGGAGGACTTTGCAGGTGGGATTAATCCGAGCAGTAAAGGCAAAGGCATGTAGGGCACTGCCTCTATTCTCACAGAATGGTGCCTGGTCTGCAACACGAGAGCTCGTAAGCAAATGTTTTTTCTAGCATGTTTTCGCAACACTTGCCGCAACTGAGACACCGAACATGCCAACAAAGGCCCAAGACCCTCAACACAACACCTTGTGCACTGCCGCTGCTTACATGTCATAGTTGTTGTGGCAATCGCCGTGGTCGTGGGGGGAGCATCAGCAGTCTGGGACTCCCTTTCGGATTTTCTTGTCTACAAATCAGCCTAAGAGAGGCATTTGGATGGATCTTGGGATCGTTTGGGTTAGGTCGGGTGGGTAGGCGGTACTAGTACCAAAATGGAAAAGGCCACGGCCAACGTAGTGACCCCTATAAAGCGCCCATAAAAGCACATCAAGCCCTAAACCCACTAAGACCTTACAACACCGCACACATCAACCGCATAAACGCCCGACCCGACTGTAAACCCAGAGGCCACGGCGCAGCGGTCTGCATGGACCCTGGCATCCGCGGCGCAGGCGGGGGCGTAGGGCCTGATGCGAGTGCAGGCTCTGGGCCTTAATGCAGCGGCCGCAGTAATGAGGATAAGGGCTCTATAATGTCGGGAGCTTGAAAAGCTAGAATAGGGTTCTCATGCTAATTTTATGAGGGTTGCATTGGGCCGTTTCGTGTTTGTTCGGGTTTAAGCGAGTTCAATATAAGGGCCTTAGCGTGTAGAACAGGGCTATGGGGCATCATAAAGGCACTAAACCGGCTCTATCGGGCTTAACGTGCTTACTAATTGGAGTAGGTTTTAAGAGTACATAAGCCCGCAAGTCTATCTAGGAACCATGAAGGGTATATTATGACTGCTTCATGAGATCTGTATCAGGTACTGGGAGTTTGATCACTAAGGGGCTAAGGAGGTCAAGGACTTTTTGTTCGGGATTTGGCGGGTTTTAGGCATCTGGGCTTTGGGGATTTTTGGGCTTAGGGTTCAGGAAGATGACGTGAGGAAACTTAATGATGGGACTGCGCTGGTTGTAACAGTGCTGCTGATGGCGTTGGTGATGATCATCATTCTCACCATGATCATTACCCTCGAGAAACCGATGGTAGTACTACTCATGTTCGTCATCCTTTGCGTCCTTTGGGGTGCAGCTGATTCGCGATGGTAGTGGCTTCAGTGGCGGCCTTGGTGGCGGTGGCTGTGGTTGTGCCAGCGGCGTCGGCGGGATTCTTGGTGCTTCTTGTGTAGCTTCCCACAAACGTGGGCCTGAAAACATCGAGTTCTCTACCAGAACCCATTGCCACTTTCCACCAGTCGAGGTCTTGATCAGCGAACTGCGTGAGCACACAAACCTCCTCCGCCTGCTTGAAAGTGGAGGAGTCCCAGATGCTGAAGCCTGAACCCTTTAGGGTTTACAGTATCTGGGTTTCGGCTTGTGGGGTTTGAGGGCCCTTAAATACTGAAGTCTTGGGCCCTTTCAGCTCTCAGGCTAAAGAAGTTGAGGCCTGGCAACACTTCCAAAAATCCCGGAGACCTGCTAGGGTTTGGCGAACACATACAAGCCTAAATGCTTAGAAAAAGTGTTGCGGTGTATTATAGTACGATGATGGGATACTGATACGATCTATGCACACCCTTATTATATTGCTACATAGGGTGTTGCGGGATCCGTTTGCCTCCGAAGCGGCTCGCATGGGGGACCTCGGTAGCCAACTGGGGGATTCAAAATCGAGAGGGAGTTTGAATGGAGAAGTGTGTGATCGTGCGCATATGCACTAGAACGCATGTTTGCACCTGCACAGCGTGCATGCCTACCTACCTCCTACTTACCTACCTGCGTACCTACGTACCTACCTACCTACCTACCTGCCTACCTGCCTACCTGCCTACCTGCCTACATACCTACCTACGCACAGACAGAAAGACAGATAGACGGACGGACGGACAGACACTCTTCTGTGGTGTAGAGTTGAAGGCTTCAGGATGTAGGGGGGGCTTTGGGGTTTCAGGGCTGTTGGCTTGGGGATGTGGTTTTCGGGATTGAGGGTTTAAGGATTTAAGTTTGATGGCCGTCGGATTGCACTTTCAGGTTGAGGCCCCGTTCAACCCTGAACGGCGACTTCGGTCGTTTGGCCCAGATCGGCCCAAGAACTTGCGGAGCTCTGCAAAGATGGGCCGCATTGTTCAAAGCTCCAGGTAGGCTTTGGGGTTTGGGGCTAGTCGGCTTAGGGGTGATCAAAGCGGCCAGGAACGCCCCTCAGCATCGATCAGAGCTGGGGTTCAGGGCTTCAGAGCTTGGGGTATATCATAGCTTGATGCAAGAGCCGATTTTTGGCACGAAGTATTGGAGGCCGTTTCGGCCTGGCAGGCGCAGATAACAACCAGACCCGGCGCTGCCACGAAGGGCTTTCGAACAAAGAAGTTCCGTGATCGCATCAGCGATCTAGAAGAGCGAAGTCTGAAAGGTGTCTTGCTCATGATCAAAATCACAAGTCGACGAACCGCATTGGCCCCGTGCTCTCGAGACCGAACGTAAATCAAAAAAATCTGCCCGATATCTGAGACGGGCAGGCATGGCTCGCAGGCCTTTCTTGCCTGGCAGGGACTAGCCTAGCCCTTCATCTGGACCATTCCGAACATCACCGGCTTACCGTTGGCCATGAAAGCAACTCTTGAAGTTGGTTCGCACACACTCCTTGACTGCTCCGGAACCGCCCGCTCAAAAAACGACAAAATCTACGTCTGCTTGAGGATACCAAAGCTTGACTAGACTTAACCTGCTTTCCAGAACAGCCTGGATTCCTGGTATCACACACCAAGGCTGTGTCCAACTCAATGCTGCAGCAAGCCGCACCTCGGCCCTGAATGCTCTCGGGATTCTCGGTCCTTCCTTCCCCCGGGGCGATCTTCCACTTAATCGCAGAGACCTTGCCTTGGGCACGGCCACATCGCATCAGACAGGTCAGGGAGGTACCCACGCGGATTTCCTCGGACAGCGCCAAGACATAGAGTTGGGCATCGAACTTCTTGGTGGCCGTCAGCTCGGTGTCAGTTTGTGAGACCATGACATCACCTGCACGGGGTGCGTTGGTATGCTCGAGGCCCTTGACATTCAAAGCGACGATGTTTCCGGGCACCGCTTCCTCCACGGACTTGTGGCACATCTCGATGCCTCACATAAGGAAACGGGACCGTTGTCCGCAGGATTATGAGTCTATGCGAAGTCAAGGGGGCAGTCACCGTAGATCGTGTCTCAAAGCTTACAGTATAAGGCTCTC